CCTTCAATTACCTGATTTCTCTGGTAGCCTTCATTTGCTATGGCATGGAAATACAAGCTGAACTCAAAGACAAGCCTGATGCTTTATGAGCTAATTGGAAACACATCATATGGGGAATGGCCCATACCATTTAATGTGGTTGGCATCAGTGAGGACCAAAAGAGGGCATTGGAAAGAGGGGATGAGCTGATTAAAAGCATACAAGTTCTGTAAAGGGGAACTGAAAGTTCCAGTAAAAGACACATAGGGTGAGTAGGGGTTATAAGCTGTTATCAGAGAAGACTGACATTGACGTCTTTATTGGTTGAAACTACCACAGGCCATACAGAACTATGAAATTGAAATCAGGTTAGAGCCAAGATCATTTTGAAGGATGGGTTCCCAGAAATTGTTGAAACAGCTGTGAATGGTGGCAGAGTAAGCACTGAGAGAAAGGAGGGGAACCGGAAACTCCAACTCAGACATCTGCCAAGCCCATATGCCTGAGGGGAGCAAGCCACATACCAGGCTCTTCCTCAGCCCTAGCTAAGTTGCCAGGCAGGCATTGCAAAGGGTATGGATATTTCCAGACAAATCAATGTGTGTTTGTCTTACATAAGATTCCCCAACTTTAACCGTTAGCAACTAATTTAAACTTGGAAACATACTGGGAAACACAGATAAAAATCTATATTTGGTACCCAGATATTCACTTTGCTACCATTGAGCCAAGGACTTTAGTCGATGAGCGGTCAAGTTGGGTTCAAGTGTGTAAAATCTGAGGTGAGGAGCAAGTGATTTGTTAGACAAGCCACACTATCCTCAGGAAATTCAAGACAGAACAAGGCTACTCTATAATCATATCTGAATGAATACAGACCAAGTGTTAAGTGTTGTCTGAACAAAATGACCAAATATTTTCCTGTGTTAGCTAAAAACCGTGTTATTACCCATCACATATTTATCCTTGTTTCATAGCCTTCCAAATAATTGATAAGATTTTCTCAGATAATTTTGTAAAAGTACTTGTGCTTCTGGATAGCTTCCAGTTCAGAGTAATGCCCTGCCAACTTGGATGTTCCCAGCACAGACTCTAATCTTTGCTTGCACAAATGAAAAGAGAGATCAATTCTGAGCCCACACTGAGAAACCCCATGGGTCTCTGTGGTGTATCAATTCCCTCTTTAGAATAGATCAATAAGCTCAACTTTGTCCAAGTACAGGAGTGCTCCTGTGGTCTTTGGTCAAAGGGTATTGACATAGCTAAGGCTTTGATCTTGCAAAACCTTGTCTCTTGTTGCAACATGCAATTCCTCACTTCTTGAATTACCGAAAGAACAAAATATAAAAATAGACTCATTGTCAAAAGATGTAAGAAGGATAGCTTTCATCTTTTATATGACTTTGGGGATATTTCAATTTTTATTTATGAGTTCTGATTGGAAATCTTGTGACTTACACCACATGTCTAGAGAGATGAAGAGTTTCTAGATGGATTTTCACCATACTCAGTTTCTTGGCACCAAGAATCTCATTGGAGTTTCTTCCCTTTTTATCTCCATCCATTTATTTGGGTAATATTTTAAAATAAAAATAACCCTAGAAGCTAACTGAGGTAAAAGGAAAAGCAAAATGTGAAATAAGCTATACTGTTTTTTTATTTTTTGTTTTTTACTAGTTGACTGTATTGGATAAGGAAACTCATTTCTTCCTCCATTAAAAACCAGTTCTTGACTACTTGGTATATAAAGCATTGTTCTAAGTTATTGGAGGCAGAGTTATGAACGAGACAGACAGTTTATAATCTCTTGAGGTTCAGAATGGGAAATGAGAAGACAGTTGAACACATAAGCACATGACTCCAAGTGACAGTAAACCCTGTGGAAAACACAAATCAAGTTAAAAGTCAGAGATTAATTAATGGGAGCAAGGGGAAAACTAATTTCGATGAGATACAAGGTCAGGGGACATTTGAGCATAAAGATCTTGATATGCTAACGAACCTAGTCATACCAATCAAGAGAAAGGAACTCACTGTGTCTGAAGAAACCTAAGCCTGGTGTGGGTGGTGAGATTAAAGAGGTAGGCAGGGGACAAAGGAGTTTTGGTGTGCCAGGGAAAGGTACTAGAAGGGTTTTGGTAAGGGAATTACATTGTCCGACTTATATTTTAGGAGATCAATTTGACTACATGTGGAGTGTGGAGATGCAACGGGGGGGGGGGGAGGGCAAAGTGATCAAATGAGGAGGCAACTGAACATAGCTGGTTCCACCAAAGAAGTCCCTTCCAAGTTTTTAAAGGTCTAGGGCCTGCCATAATAGGTTTTATTTGATAGTATCTGAGCCCTTTTGGCATTCACCATGACATTTCCATTTTGCCTGGTTATCTATGGGCATAACTGAAAATTTTCTAGGTTTGGTTGTCCTGTATACATAATAAGCATTGGTCATTTCAAGGGCTTTGGATTCCTGTTTTCTTGATGACTTCTCCCTGTGTGGTCCTTCCCTTACCTAGGGTTATTATTATGTTTGGTTAGAAGCCTTGCTCTAATTTGAGGAGAAGTGGAGGAAGTGGTAAATGATCAGATTTAAGAAACTCTCAGTGTAAGAACCGACAGAACATCCCGATGCACTAGGGGGGGATAAGCTGTAGACTATAAAAAGGATTGTGGCTGGTTCCCAGTCACCTAAGGGTTAACGAACAGTAGCGTCATCAATTGAAATTGGAGAAAGTTCAGAATAAAAAAACTCAGATTACGATTTCTCCTGGGGTATGCTATGTTTACAAAGTATTACAGTGCTACACCCACTATTGAAACAAAAAGGGCAGTAAATATTTGTAGAGTTTAGTGCCTAGAACATGCAGTCACTCTGTGTTAGTATATAAAGCAATTCTGAGAAAGTTAGTTACTCATTCACAAACACATGAAAAGACAGCTCAAGCCTACGTAGCCAGGTCTACTTAAACAGGCTCCTCTAGGCTTTTAAGTACTAGAGCTTGCTGTAACAGAACCTATTTAACAATATCTGAGCCCTTTTGGTAATCACCATGATCAGCCTGCTGTGCCCAGTTAAACTAAATAAAAGCCACATTTGAAATGTCCCTGGAGTTCATTATTCCATAGATGTAATAGGCATTGTTTCTTTCCTGGTCCCTTGGATCTTATGTCCTGAAGACTTCTTCCCCAGCATCCTACTCCTCAGAGTTATTTGTGTTCTGATTTGAGTAGTAAAGATGTACGTCACAACTGTAACTATAGGAAGCAATAAGAAGAAATGAGTAGGTTATAGGAGACCTGTACATTTAGAAGCGGTAGATAGATGTAAGTGAAATCAAAACAGAACCGACAAGACTGGAGCACAGTGAATGTAGACCTGAAGAAGGACTGTCAGAGAAGGTAGAAGTAATAATCTAAAAATCTTAGGGTTAGGTTGTGGCTATTTGACTACGAGGCGACATTTGTCCATATTATAATACTATCAAGAGAGTGACAACACAAACTGAAAATGGGAAACTACTTGGAAAAGACTTTGATAAAAATCTGTGATTCGGATGTATACAATGGGAAGTTCTGTGTTGTTTGACTTTGGGGTGAATTGATAATGCTCTAGAGACAGGGTTTCTCTGTATTGCTTTGGACCCTGTCCTGGCACTTGCTCTGTAGACTAGGCTGGCTTTGAACTCACAGAGATCCACCTGCCTCTGACTCCCGAGTGCTGGGATTAAAGGCGTGCGCCACCACGGCTTAAAAGTCTTAAGGTCTCCAGAGACATTTAAATAAATAAAGAAGAACTGAATAAATAGACTTACAGTATAGAAAAGTAGAGTGTGTTCAGGCCTGGAGCAATGTCAGTGGGAGGTTCCGAATCCCACGGAGAAGTAGCATCAGAGGAATCCCTGAGCCTCAGACCTGGAAGCAGCCTCAGAGGGAGGTTCGAGTTTCATTCCAGGAGCGAGGAGTGGTCACCAGGTGAAGTGACAGCAGCACTTTCCAGCATTATCTTCCAGAAACTATCACAGTAAGTTCCTCTGGGAAAGAGGACCTGTGTCCCAGCCAGCATCCACTGTCATTTCTCAGTGGGAGATACCCTCGCTACTCCATCAACTAAGTACCATCTACGCCTTCAACAGGAGGCGAGTCCACTGGAGCCTGGAGCTGTAGCCCCACCTGCACGTCAAGGAGTGACTCCCTGAGCTTTGGGTCACTTCCACCAGGAGGAGCGTGCACCGGAAGCTCTGCTCTACTTGTGCCTGAAGAGCGGTCAAGGCAGCCACAGCCCTCAATTATACCAACTGGAGAAAGAGAGACCCACTGAAACACAAGCTCCACCCATACCCATTAGAGGAAGAGATGCATAGACAACAAGGTAAGAACACACTCAAAAATACAAAGAGCAATATGGCACCACTAGAAACTACTGGTGTTATAGTAGTAAGACCTGAACATCCCAATGCAGAAGAAGTAGAAGAAAACGACCTAAAAGATAACTTTATGAGGATGATTGAGGCCTTTAAAGAGGAAATGAAAGATTCTCTTAAAGAAATGGAGGAAATGACAAACAAAAAATTGGAAGATATCAACAAATGCCTTAAAGAAAACTCAACCTGGTCTACAAGAGCTAGTTCCAGGACAGTCTCCAAAGTCACAGAGAAACCCTGTCTTGAAAAACCAAAAAGAAAAAAAAAAAGAAAAATCAAGGTAAAGCAATCAAACAAGTGAAGGAAACAATTCAAGACATGAAATATGAAATCGAGGCAATAAAGAAAACACAAACCGAGGGAATTCCGGAAATGGAAAATCTGGGCAAATGATCAGAAACCACAAGTGCAAGCATAAGCAACAGAATACAAGAGATGGAAGAGAGGATTTCAGGCATTGAAGATTCACGAGAGGAAATAGATTCATCTGCCAAAGAAGCGGGGGGAACGGGAGGAGAGGAGGATGGAGGAACAGGGACTGGAATATTAAAAAAAAATAATTTAAAAAACTGCAAAAAAAAGAAAAAAGAAAAGAAGAGTGTTAAAAGCACAGCGTTTGGGGCTAGAGAGATGATTGGCTGCTCTAAGAGAGGACTTGAGCTTGGTCTCCACTACCAAGGTTCCCAAATACTGATCAGAACCTCATGTAACTCTAGTTCTAGGAGATCTGGTGACCTCATCTGTCCACCCTGGGCACCTGTACTCACATGCACTCAAGACTGTTGGATGACACCATTTCTGGGGAGACGTGAACAAATTTCTACTCACTCCAGATGGCGAATGGTCAACAGATTTAGATACCACCCAAGTCCAATTTTGTGAACCAATGAATGAATTGGGGTTTCTTACAGAAGTATGGGGGAGGGGTATTTTACAGGGATAGAAATGATGACACAAAGACAGCTGTATTATCAAAATACATGCTAGTATGGATAACAGCTCATGAAGAAATGGAATCCTATGGCTTATTGTTTTCTTGCAGGTCACTCAATGAGTCAGAGAATGTCTCTTCCAGGCAGCTCAGCTGTAGTGAACATTGTTCAGGCAGCTTGTCTTGTCTGACACTGGCTCTCAGAAGTCTTGACTGCTCATAGAAGCTCAGAGAGGGCCGGGGAACTTTGTGACACTGTCAGTTCCATGTATTTCTTTGCTATCTGTAGAACCAGATCTCACCTACATCCCCCAGAACGTTGATCCCTTCTCCAGACCTTTATCCTTGGCTTTGTTTCTCAGTCAATAGATCCCATCCTTAGGGAAGGTGTCACTTGTACTTTACAGTCTGTGAACCTCTAGTCTGTCTGGGACCCCAGCCAGAGACAACACCAGATTTGTGGCCCTTAAGCTCTCATCTTTATGGTCACATGTACTTTGAGTTGAGTGTTGATGTAATTTTGCCTCCTTGTGCACCAGGGATTGTGTTACAACAGGAAGCTTTCCCCCAAGGTTATACTGTGTTTAAATATGCTTACCATAAACTGTCTGGTGTCAATTCTCTAGAAGTTTGAACCAAAACTGATTAAGTTGTGCTGAACTGAGCTGAGTTTTCCTCCTCTCCCTCCTCGTCCTCCTCGTCCTCTTCCTCCTCTACCTTCTCCGCCTCCTCCATCTCCTTCTTCTTCAAAGATAGGGTGTCTTTTCGCTGTCTTGGTACTCGCTCTGTAGATCAGGCTATCCTAGATCTCACAGAGATCTGCCTACCTCTGCCTCCCATGTGCTGGGATTAAAGGTGTGAGTTATCCTTCTTGCCATGGTTCCCCAGCTGGTTATGATGCTTTCATGGACCCCCACATGTTTTGAAACTTTTGAGTTGTTAAACTTCCTTATTGTCTCAGAGTTTCTACTGCTGTGAAGAGACACCATGACCATGGCAACTCTTATAAAGGGAAACATTTAATGGAGGCTGGTTTACAGTTCAGAGGTTCCATCCACTATCACCACGGCGAGAAGCTTGATGGTGCACAGGCAGACATGGTGTTGGAGAAGGAACTGAGAATTCTACATCTTGATCTGCAGGAAGCAGAAGGACACTGTGTGTCACACTGGGTGTAGCTTGAACATACACGAGACCTCAAAGCTCATCTCCATGGTGACGTACTTCCTCCAACAAGGCCACACGTACTCCAACAAGGCCACACCTCCTAATAGTCACACTCCCCATGGGCCAACCATTCAAATAGGCAAGTCTATGGAGGACATTCCTATTCAAACCACCACGCTGAGTCCTAACAGGCTTCTCTTCAAGTCAGAATGTTTTATCTTGGAGAAAAGTGTTACAGAAAGATACCAAGAAATTAATACACATACATTTGAAAAAAAACTTGCCGGGCATTGGTGGCACACGCCTTTAATCCCAGCACTCGGGAGGCAGAGGCAGGCGGATCTCTGTGAGTTCGAGACCAGCCTGGACTACCAAGTGAGTTCCAGGACAGCCTCCAAAACCACAGAGAAACCCTGTTTCGAAAAAACCAAAAGAAAAAAAAACCTTAAAAAGCCTATCTCAGACCAATTTCCCTCATAAACATTGATGCAAAAATACTCAATAAAATACTAGCAAACCGGATTCAAGAACACATCAGAAAAATCATCCACCATGATCAAGTAGGCTTCATCCCAGGAATGCAGGGATGGTTCAACATTAGAAAATCTATCAATGTAATCCACCATATAAACAAACTGCGAAAGAAAAACCACATGATCATCTCACTAGATGCTGAAAAAGCCTTTGACAAAATCCAGCACCCCTTCATAATAAAGGTCCTAGAGAGATCAGGGATAACAGGAACATACCTGAATATAATAAAAGCAATATACAGTAAACCAACAGCTAACATCAAACTAAATGGAGGGAAACTCAAAGCAATTCCTCTAAAATCAGGAACAAGACAAGGCTGTCCACTCTCTCCATATCTCTTCAATACTGTACTTGAAGTCCTAGCTACAGCAATAAGACAACAAAAGGAGATAAAGGGGATACAAATAGGAAAAGAAGAAGTCAAATTTTCCCTATTTGCAGATGATATGATAGTTTACGTAAGTGACCCAAAAAACTCTGCAAGGGAACTCCTAGAGCTGATAAACACCTTCAGCAAAGTGGCAGGATACAAGGTAAACTCAAAAAAATCAGTGGCCCTATTATATACAGACGATGAAGTGACTGAGAAAGAAATCAGAGAAACCTTACCCTTTACAATAGCCATAAACAGCATCAAATATCTGGGCATAATGTTAACCAAGGAAGTGAAAGACCTGTATATCAAGAACTTTGAGTCTTTAAAGAAAGAAATCAAAGAGGATACCAGAAAATGGAAAGACTGCCCATGCTCTTGGATTGGTAGGATCAACATAATAAAAATGTCAATCTTGCCAAAAGCAGTCTACAGATTCAATGCAATCCCTATCAAAATTCCAGCACAATTCTTCTCAGACCTGGAAAGAACATTAATCAACTTTATATGGAAAAACAAAAGGCCCAGGATAGCCAAAACAACCCTATATAATAAAGGAACTTCAGGAGGCATCACCATACCTGACTTCAAGCTCTATTATAGAGCTATAGTCCTGAAAACAGCTTGGTATTAGCACAAAAATAGGCAGGTAGACCAATGGGACCGAATTGAAAACCCTGATTTTAACCCACACACCTATGAACACTTGATTTTTGACAAAGTAGCTAAAACTATACAATGGAAAAAAGAAAGCATCTTCAACAAATGGTGCTGGCATAACTGGGTACTGGTATGCAGAAGACTGCAGATAGATCCATGTTTATCACCTTGTACAAAACTTAAGTCCAAATGGATCAAAGATCTCAACATAAATCCAGCCACACTAAAACTTTTAGAAGAGAAAGTGGGAGATACTCTTCAACGAGTTGGTACAGGAGACCACTTCCTAAACATAACACCAGTGGCACAGACACTGAGATCGACAATCAACAAATGGGACCTCATGAAACTAAAAAGCTTCTGTAAGGCAAAGGACACAGTCAACAAGACAGAAAGGCAACCCACAGAATGGGAAAAGATATTCACTGACCCCACATCTGACATAGGGTTGATCTCCAAAATTTACAAAGAACTCAAGAAGCAAGTCTCCGAAACACCAAAGGATCCAATTAAAAGGTGGGCCACAGAACTAAATAGAGAATTCTCAATAGAGGAATTTAAAATGGCTGAGAGACACTTGAGAAAGTAAGTGCTCAACATCCTTAGCCATCAGGGAAATGCAAATCAAAACAACTTTGAGATACCATCTTACTCCTGTCAGAATGGCTAAAATCAAAAACACGGAAGACAATTTATGCTGGAGAGGATGTGGAGAGAGGGGAACACTCCTCCACTGCTGGTGGGAGTGCCAACTCGTACAGCCACTTTGGAAATCAGAATGGAGATTCCTCAGGAAAATGGGAATCAATCTACCACAAGACCCAGCAATTCCACTCTTAGGCATATATCCAAAGGAGGCAAATTCATACAACAAGGGCATCTTCTCCACTGTGTTCATAGCAGCATTACTTGTAATAGCCAGAACCTGGAAGCAACCTAGATGCCCCTCAGCTGAACAGTGGATAGATAAAATGTGGTATATTTACACAATGGAGTATTACTCAGCAGAAAAAAACAATGGAATCTTGAAATTCGCAGGTAAATGGATAGCACTGGAAGAAACCATCCTGAGTGAGGTAACCCAGTCACAAAAAGACAAACATGGTATATACTCACTCATATATGGATTTTAGACATGGATCAGGAGAGTGCCAGTCTGCACTTCCACTGACAGAGAGTCTGGGAAACAGGAAAGAACCTAAAAGATATGCATGATACCCAAGAGAAGAGAAATGAAGCAAGATCCTCTGAACAGATGGGGAACACAGCGAGGGGTGGGGGGAGGGGGACCTGGGAAATAGAGAGGGGGAGAAGTGGAAGAGAGAGTAGGATGTGGAGGAACAGGAAGGTTGACTGGGGGGGGGTAGGATAGGGGGAAGAGGGAATCATAGGTTAGAAGACAGATCAGGCACCAGAGTGACCTCTAGTGATCTAAATGGATGACACCAATTGGCAAGGTAAGCAATAGTGTAGAGACCACCTCAAATGCCCATTCCTGATAGTGAACTTGATGTCTATAACCATCCTTCATCCAGTGACTGATGGAAGCAGAGGCAAACACCCACAGTTAAATACTGAACTGAACCCAAGGAACCCAGTGACAGAGAGAGAGGAGCGAAGAGCAAATTGGCAAAGAATGGGCTGGCAAAACCAGCAGAAACAGCTGATCTGAACAGGGGAGAGCTCTTGGACCCCAGACCGACATCTGGGAGGCCAGCATGGGACCTATCCAGACCCCCAGAGTGTGAGAGTCAGTGAGGAGGCCTGGGCAACCTATGGGGTCCTGAGCAGTGGATCAGTGTTTATCCCTTGAATACTAACAGACATCGTGTGTCCATAACACAAAGAGGGTTGCTCTCTCTGCCTGGACTCTTAGGGAAGTGCCTGGACCCTACCCTGAGTGAAATGATAGGCTCCAGATATCCCCTATGTGGAAGGAATTGGCAATAAGGTGGGAGGATGGGGGGGGGGGATGCTGGGGGGTGCGGGAGGTGGGGAGGGAGAGGGAACTGGGATTGACATGTAAAACAAGCTATTTAAAATTAAAATAAAATAAATTAAAGAACTTGACTTGGATTTGAACATCAAGAGATCCAATAAGAAAATATACTTTTAAAAGAGTTAGTCCTTGAGAAAGACTTCAAATGGAAAGGATTACAACAGGTAGTAGAGGAATACATTTTGCTTCTGGCTAATTAAGTATGGAACTCAATAGTCAACAAGATCTCTATGTCATCCATGTTTCAGAGAGCAGTGTTCTTTAAAGTCTAGGAAGACGATTGTGAATGGCAATCACATCGTGTGAAAATTCTCACCCCTTCTTGTATGCTTCTCCCAGTTTTCAGAACAAACACAGCCCTCTTTTTTTAGAAGTTTCAGCTCTGTTGGGGCTGAAAGTAGTATGCCAATAAGGAAACGGTGAGGGTGGACTCCAGAGTCAGACGGTGTAGATTAAAATCATCATCTACCAGTGTGCTCTTCAAACCTAGACAGCCGCCATACCTCAATTAACTCAGCTGAACAGAGAAGTCCTCACAGGGTCCTCATGAAGAGTAAGTCACTATAACAGAGCAGCTGTGACTGTACATTCACAAGTAGCCACATTTTGACTAATTAGTGTGTCTGTGTGTGCATATGTGTGTGTGGGTAGGGTTGGGGTATAAGCTATGACATCTATAGGAATGTAAGAGCATAGTTATTGGGAGTTGATTACCTTCTACCATCTTGTGGGATACAGATATTGAACTTAAATAGTGAGACTTGTATACAAGTGCCTCTATCCACTGAGCCATCTTGCTGGACCAGAATCTACATTTTAAAAAGGTAAATTTAATTTTAATATTATATTTTACTTAACTCGTCAAAATATCACTATGATGAGTTGTGATTAGTCTGAAATATAATTAGTGTGACCTTTTAATATTCCTTTTCATATTAAATCTAAAATTCAATGTCATTTTGCATTGTACATCTCAGTTGTTTCTACTAATAATCTGATTACTGAGTGGACACCTGTAGTTAGTGGTTGTCATGTTGGAAAACACAACTCAAATCAAATTACTCAACACTGGAATTGTTTTTAAAGGACCTGAAGTGCTGTGGGATATCTTAGCCTCTCTCCCTGTGTATCTATTTTCTGCTTTTTATTTTCCTCCCCTGCACTCTCAGAAGAAAACAAAAAAGAAATCAAAAGGAACTAGTTCAACCAGTCACACACACAAAAAATACAGCACATGATGGGCATTGGGGTTGCATGGTGACTTGGTGGCTCATTGTCAAATGTTCAGTTTCCACTAAAGCCCAATACTAGTCCAAGAGTGGTTTTTCAAAGGGAGAATAGTTGTCTGAAGATAATGGCAAAGTCTTTCTCCAAAATCTCAACAGATTTTTTTCCCCGTGATTCACCTCTAGCAGCCTGCCAAGGCTCCAAAAAGCATCCCTATCTGTCACAAACACCTCAAGTACCACAAGATCTGTTACATCATTTTGTCTAAGTGGCAAAGCAGTCTGGACCTATTGAAGAGCTTTCTCTTTCCTGTTCCGGGCCTCACATAAAGTCAGCAGCTTTCTGAGGTACTTGGTCTATGGGACAGAGTAACACACCAAAGTGGGGAATGGGCTGTCTCTAGACTCCAAATAGGCCCATTATACATTGAATTTCTTTCTTGGTCGTGAGAGGGGCAAGGTGCAGTAACTGATCCTTAACCTTAGAAGAAATATCTCTGCATGCCCCATACCACTGGATTTCTGAGAATTTCACTGAGGTAGAAGGTCCTTGTATTTTGGTTGGGTTTATTTCCCATCCTCTGAAACACATATGTATTACCAATGAGTTCAAAGTGGTTGCTTTCTCCTGCTCAGCTGGTCCCATCAGCATAATGTCACCAACATCATGTGCACTAACCAGTGTGATATTTTGTGGGAGAGATTAACAATCAAGATTCCTTCTAAGTCATGACACAGGTCAGGAGAGTTAATACATCCTGTTAAGGTATACTGCCGGCCATTGAAAGCAAATTGTTTCTGGTGGTCCTTACGGACAGGCACTGAAATAAAGGAATTTGCTAAATTAATAGCTGCATGTCATGTATAACACATATCATGAGATGTGTTAATTTGCTCAAGCAAGGACATTATATCTGGTGTAACACCTGCAACTGGAGTTATTACCTGATTGAGTTTTTGACAGTCAACTGTCATTCTCCATGATCCATCTGTCTTCTGTGCTGTCAAGATAGGAGAGGTAAAGGGAGATGTGTTTGGGCACCACCACCCCTGCATCTTTCAAGTCCTTGATGCTGGCACTAATTTCTGCAGATCCTTCATGGATGAAAGACTGGTTTTGATTCACTATTTTCATCGGCAGAGGCAACTCTAAAGGTTTCTATTTAGCCTTTTAAACCATGATAGCCATCACTCCATAGGTTAGGGAACCAATATGAGAATCTTGACAACTTCTAAGTATATGTATCACAATTACACATTCTGGAATTGGGGTTATAACCTCAGGATTGGAGACCTACTGGACCTATTGTGAGCTGGACATAAGTCAAAACTCCATTAATCAGCTGACCTCTATTTGCCTAAATGGACGGCACTAGGATAAACCATCCTGAGTGAGGTAACCCAGTCACAAAAAGAGAAACATGATATGTACTCACTCATTTATGGACTTTAGACATGAATCGGGGGAGTGCAAGCATACAACCCCAGGGCCAGAGAGTCTGGGAAACAGAACCTCCATCCATCGACTGATGGAAGCAGAGGCAGACACGCACAAGCTGAAAACTGAATGCTGAGAGATCAGAGAGAAGGAGCAAGCCACAGCACACCTTACCTCCTAAGCATCTCCACAGAGAAGAGAGTGATTTCCTGTTTTTCCCTGCTTATGCCCAGCTACGTCACTTCCTGCCTGTCTGTACAGACCTCCCGACCTCTATGGTTACCTAGTGGCAAGCTCCATTCTCTGACCCCAGACAGGCTTTATTTGTGCAAGAAAGATATCACCACATAGAAGTAAGCTTTAATGATCTATTAGCTGACCTATTCTATTAGACCAATCTTCAATTTTGTTGGGAGTCAAGAATTGAAAATCAATTCACTTGCAAAGATTTCCTAGCCATTATTGGAGTCATTTATTTTCTCAGATGCTGGAAGTTGTACCAAAAATACTTTTCCAGTACCCTTTAAGTTGCTATTAATTATTTTTTAGTTTTGCACTTAGCATCATATAGTTTAATCCAGTATACTAAGAAAGAGTTAATATTCAAAATAGGAATATTTTTGATATAGCTTTGTCAGGACAGTTTTATAAAATGCTACATAATCATTCTATATGTTTAAAATAGATTTTGTCAAAACAGGGGCTTTAGGCTCTTCATTAAATTAATAGAAAATCTCCACTCTTTTTTTTATCAGAAAAGCCTGTGTTAAATGAAGTTCTCATCCAGTTGAGAAGAAATGCAGCTCTACCATCAGAGTAATGCCTCAGCACATGCTTCCACAACTACTGGAAAACCAATTATGAATGCTTCTCCTGTGATAGATTTCCCCCAAATGGTCTGCTCTCATTTAAGATGATACAGAACCAGAAGTAACCAACAAGTCAATTTTTAATAATTATAAATCAATAAATCATGTTATTAGGATGGCCAATTTGTAATAATGTAATTAAATATAACATTTGAGGTAATGGATAGCTACTATAAATAGCTGTGAAGAAAGGGTATAACAAATATATCTGTCTTTCCTAAATGGGTTTGTAGATATGCACTGACCTATCTTCAGAGTGTTGGAACTCTTAAATATCACATATAGATATTCAAAACCATATCAAAGCTTTGACAAGGTGAATTTTCCTCTGAATTTCATGAAAGAAAAATGCTTCAATTCCTAAACCGGAGGGGTAACTAACATGCAACTGGATGTTAATTATATTATATCATAGGATGTAGAAAATATTAGCCCTTTGTAAACTAGACTACAATTAGAATAAATATGTTAAAGTCTGGTTTGATAGCTTTTAAATTTTCATGTGAAAATTTCTATGTGGAATTCACTTTCCACTACAATTGCAAACATTTTGAATTGGAAAAAGTTCCAGATATGTAAAAAATTAAAACAAACGAACATCAACAACAACAAAAAACTGCATGTCACTAAGGTATAATACTTTAGCAAAAACAAAACAATGTTTCAATTTATTAATATTATGAACGTCTCAAGATTTGTGAATTTTAGAAGTGTAAATTGCAGCTTTTAGTGTTTCTTTAAAACTTTTAATTAGTTAAAATGTTAATATTAGCGGGCGGTGGTGGCGCACACCTTTAATCCCAGCACTCGGGAGGCAGAGGCAAGAGGATCTCTGTGAGTTGGAGACCAAGCCTGGTCTACTGAGCGAGTTCCAGGACAGGCTCCAAAACAATACAGAGAAACCCTGTCTTGAAAAACCCCCCAAAAATGTTAATATTATTTTATTTATTCTTTGAAAATTTCATATATGTATACAATGTAGTTTGATTTTATCCACTTCCTACTATCTATCTTCAACTTCTCCCATAGACAAATCTTCTTCCTGACTGAATGTCCTATTTTTGTTATTACTATAAGTCCCTTCGGGTCAGTTAGTGCTAACCATATGCAAATATCTGTAGAGTCAGGCACCAGGGTATGCACAACCTATCAAAAAAATATGTCCCCAAAGAAAACTGACTCTCCCATCCTCAGCAGTAGTCAGCTGACATTACATCCTTAGCTAGGGGTGGGGTCCCTCCTGCATCCATGCTGGAACTTTGATTGGCCTGAATCTGTGCAGGTCTTGTGCAGGGAACCACAACCGGCTATGAATTGATGTGTACATCAGCCTTGTCATGTGCGGGATTCTGAGTTTCATAGCTCAGCCCAATCCTCAGGTTCTTACATCCTTCCTGCCTATTATTCCACAATGCTACCTAAAACTTAATGTGGAGAGGTTGATATGGCTAACTCCTCTAGGGCTAAACACTCATGATGGGGGAAGTCCTGTGTATATGTCAATAAAGCACTGTTGGCCAATAGGGAAGCAAGATAGGTGGGACTAGGAGTCCAGGAGGACTCTGGGTAGGAGAAACACAGAGAGTCAAGATGTAACCGCCATAGGGATAAGAAGCCCTGAAACTTCTCCGGTAAGAGAAATACTTAGATTAACAATTATGGGATAAATACTTAAGTCAGAGCTAGCCAGTAAGAAACAAGCAAGGCCAACAGCTTCATAATTAATACAGCGTCTTGTGTGTTATTTGGGGACGACAACATGGCAGAGCCCAGGCGACTGGCAGGGGGGGTGGGACTAAAGCTGCTAGCAAGAAAAAGGCTTCTCTTTACACACTCATAGTCATTTATTCTCGGCACACTGACCAGTAGTGAACCTCTCTATGCCTAGCTTGCTTAGATTTTTATGCGGTTTTATTATTGACCCAAAATATATGTTCCCACCCCCTCAACAATTGGTCTTTACTTGAAAAAGCTCATAGCAATGACAACGAAAACTAGGATATCAAGAAAAGATACATCATTTCTTTCCATAAAAAGGTATTGGACAATAAGAGAGTAGTTTTGTCCGTGACTGAAAGGTCACTAGGAAACAACAAATGAAGACTGAAGAAAAGATTACAAATAGAAAAAGAGGGTGTGGCAGAAGAAAAGAGGAATAGAAATGAGATGGAAAGGGTCATGGGATTTCTGTTTGGACTCTATCCATTTGCCAGCTCATTTTTTTGAATATACGTTTTTAAATTGATTTTTTTTGGGAATTTCACATGATGTATCCCCCAACCCCATTCATCTCTCAGTCCCTTCATATCCTCCTTTGACCCCTATAGTGCACTCACAGAAGAAAATTTAAAAAGAAACACAAGTGAAATAAAAATATCGGAACAAATAAAGCAAAAGCTACCATCATCAGCAAAAATATCAAAATAAACAAACAAAAAACTACTTCACTCACTCCTCTGTCTTTCCTGTCTCTTCATCACGCCTTTATTCATCTTAGTGGCATTGGGAGCTGGAGTGTGTCACACAGCAGGCCCTTTTGTCCAAACAGCTTCACTTGGAAGTGTTCATTAGGTAATGTTGGGTCAGGGTCAAAGCCTCTGGTTCCTGGTACACCATCAGTACTGGACCTTCACCAAACTCCTCTTGGATATCCTGCTGTTGCCCTAGTCATGGACATCCTGTGGCTGGGACAAGTCCCTTCACTCACTCCAGCAGGTCACAGATGGGGTGGGCCAATTCAGAGGCCTTAATGTGTGCCTGGGTGCCTGTAGCTGAGCTGGCCAGTCTGGGCCTCTGGGACCACCCTCTCAGATGAAGAGTGGGGACAGCTTTCCTAAGTGTGGGGGACAGTTTTCTTATGAAAAGTAGGACCTGGTCTTCCATGCCAGGGTCATCTGGGTCAGCTCTCCCAGGGCCAGTGAGGGGTAGGGCCATCTCTCCATCTCTGGATGGCCCTCATACTTCAATACGCATGATTCCCATGCACTCATGTGTTAACACGGGCAACAGACATTGACACATACCTCAGCTGCAGTAGGACCACAGACCCAGACATGGTCCTCAGCAGCAGCTTGGGCCCAGATGTCACTATGGCCCCGAGTAGCAGTTCAGGCCACTCAGATCTTTATGCAGCCTGGTGGCAACATGGTCTCCAGACTCCAACATGGCCCTAGGTGGTGGTCCAGACTCCAGGTATCCACATGTCCCTCAGTGGTTACAGCAGCCACTGACATCAACACAGATCTTGGCTGGGACAGGACCACAGATCCAGACATGGCCCCAGGAGCATCTAGGGCCTGGATGTCACCATAGTCCTCAGTGGGAGTACAGGTCAACCAGAACTATGTGGACCCAGCAACAAGATGAGCCTTGTACACCAACATGGTCTCAGATCTCAGAGCCCGGGCATCTGCATAACTTTTATTGGTGAGAGGAGCCATGGTAGGGCCACAGACTTAGACATGGCCCTCAGCAGCAGCATAGGTCCAGACATTACCATGGCGCTGGTGATAAGCAGGCCACACATGTCAGCCCAAATCCTCACCACCTTCATCTCTTCAGATTTGCCTCTTTCTACCTCACACGGACCATTCTGCATCTCTCTCTCCCTACCATATGTTCCCTCACCATAATGGCACAGGACTGCCTGGGTGGGCCTGTGGTTTTCTTTGACCCACCCAGGCCAAGCAGCACCAGGTGTTTCTAAAGTATTTTTGAAGGGACAGATCTCATGCTCAATGTCTGAATTGAATGGTGTGAGCAAAACTGACATAATCTCCTTACAAAGATTAGTGTTTAAGGGAGGAACAATAACCATTAAAAATCATATATTTTTAAATTCTACAGTGCAAACAAAGAGCTTAGAAGTCATCATTCCTGTTCACAACAAGAAGTGGTAGAATATGTTGAATGCTGGACGTCTATGACTTTGTTAATTGACTCGTGGCAAAGGGCTACGCTCAAATCTAGATTGGAAGATGGATGTGGACAGCCATGCTGAGATCTGCTTGCCTGGAGCACACTGTGATGATGTCACCATAGACCACAATGCATTGCAAGTCTCCAAGGAGTCCCTCGAGGAGAGAAAGGAACTGGGAACGGAATGAGGACTCCAGCTCCACTACAATGCATAAAATAGCCTCACTGAAAAAAATTTGAGAAAAAATGATGAACTAAGCAACATTGCAAATGAGTGGAAATCAATGGGTAAAGGCAAGAAGAA